ACACCATCGCACTAGACACCCCTGTTCACGCTTGCCTGCAACGCTGCCAGCCTCGTCTGAGCGCCGACAATGGCTTTTCTGAGTCGGCGGGAGTCAATCCGCAACTTGGCCGTCCACTCTTCCATCGTAGAAGCCGCTGCAGTGTGTTGAGGAGCCGAAACTTGCCTCACATGAGAATTAGGTAGAGACGGCCACGGAAGGGTCTAGGACCGACGCCCCAGACCCTCTCTGTCAGTCTGTTCTCTCACCTTCTCCCGTCGCACACCTCCACTGTACTTCACTCTCAGTCTGCGAAGAAGCAACGTTGAGCAGTAAGTATAATTGGCCAGCCAAGACAGCATCTACCACCAACTTTCGCTGTTTGTATCCTCCTGCATCAAGGCACTGCGATCTGTCCGACAGCGTCACATTCTAAAGAAAGCGCCGCCCGAGTTGTACTCTTCATCGATTCTCTAAACCGCGGCGCAGTATTGCACGCAGAATGCCGACTAAGCTGCCGATTGAAGTGTTAAGGTTGCCATTCGCCATGACTTTCAACGTATGGCATTTAGCCGAAGCCTCACTGACGGTTCGTACTTAGCTAGGGAAAGAACCATCCGCAGTCTCCAGACACCCTCACGAGCATGCCACCAAGATCGTGGACAGCCGGTCACGGTTGAGCCACTCAGCGACGATGACATACAGAGGCTACCCAGGGAGAGCTTGCCGCAACCTTGCCTTCGACTCGCGAGGCAACCACACTCCCACGCCGACGTGCTGTATGCTGCGGCTCGCCCTTGCCCGTATAAAGAACAGTACGTTGGTCCTTTCAACTAGGACGAAGAACCCGAACTTCCTAGTCGCGCTGCACCGATTAAATAGCACCTAATTTGGCCTTTGAAGTTCTACTTCAGTATCCTGGTGGACTGGATTCGTTGCTGCGGCCTGCACTCATCTCATCTCTGGGCGGCGACACTGGAGTCAAAGTTCAGATCAGAGTTCAAAGTTCCAGACCATATCACGTGACTCCCCAAAAACATGTCTCAGCACACCATGATGCTCGTCGGACGGGTTCATATAGCACTGAAGCGTGTTCGTTGGGCAACAGAAAGGGGGCAAGAGGCGCTGTTGGGGACAGCAACTAACAACGCCGCGATGCGCCCTTAGGCGGGCGGACATTCCATGCTATTTTCTGGACCTTCCACGGGTAAATTAATTTCTGCGACAATACAATCCTCCTCAATGCCGTTTCACCTTCTGCTGTGCATGGTAGCAAGCCAGGGACGACGCACGGGAGAGATTTCTTCACGTAGGGCTCGGCAATCCAATACCACTGGTCATCCATTATAACACACTCAGCCTTGTTGACTTCATGTACATAGTCGACATAATCTGCCATCATGTCCTCGAGAAGGACGACTCTGGGTACGACTCTCCGTCGTAGGAGCCGACCTTTTCGCCGTCACTGTCATCAAGGCCGTCGATTTCGTATCCTTTAGAGCGCGAGAACAGGGCCCATGTACGCTCGTCGCTATCGCGGGTTGTGGGCACCTTCTTCCATATGACTGTGTTCTCATCCCACGTAGAGGTCGGGTGGCCGTCTTCTTGCAGCGCCGGGGGAGTAGCTCCCAGTCTCTTGTGCTTGGCAATGGAGTTTGCAAGATGGCCATCGACATCCTCGTTATAGTCCAATCCCACGGGCTTTCCTTTCCATGCCCGGACGACCAGTGCCTCATACCAATCGTGACCGGACAACGGTTGCAGGGATTTTGAGTAGGCAATGAACGAGGCTGGACCCTCAAGGTAGAGTCCCTCGTCCTTGAGCAGGCCACTGAGCTCGGCGCACGCCTTCGTGCCGGCATTGCTCCAGCGGCATCCCCGTAATTTGTAGCTCGTTGAGCGTACATCCAAGCTCATGGCACGCAATATCATGAAGCTCTGACCCAGACAAAGGAAGCAGTATGTTCGAAAACTTGACGAGGTCCATCCGCAAAGTTGTTAGGGCAGGGAGCAGTCTGGGCCGTGGGTAGTACAGTACTTGTCGCGGTAAGCTGGGTCATACGGGGCGCGGAGAGCGGCGAGGAAGTCGACAATCTGAGTCCAAGTGTAGCACCGGCATCCGCCACGCACGATAGGTGTCTCCTGGGGTCTCATTTGGACCTTGAGTTTCGCGTCTCCTTTGAGATCTTCGTGGTAATCCCGTTCCAATTTGTGTTTGCATCGCTGGTCGTCGAAGTAGTGAGCCACATTGCGAAGGCGGATGCTAGTTACTTTGTGACGAAAGTTGAGGCTCAATTCCGCGAAGTGGCGGAGGGCTTGAGGAGTGGTGAACGTGAACTCGTTGCGATCCCAGAGGTAGCGAGTACCTTCCGCGTACAGTGCTCGGCAGGTGGCGAGAAAGTGGATGGCGAGCTGGTTGCCCCTCGCCTTCTCCTGCTCGGTCAGATGTTCGGATGTGGTGGGGCTGAGGGGATCAATGATGGGCTGTGCGCCTGTTAGAGCGAATCTAAGGATGCGTAGGATGACCTCCGGTGGAAGATGTGGGCAGCCGGGGCCATTTGCCTTGCGCTGTCGACTCCGGCGCATGGTTGGTCCCATTTGCTTGAGGTGGGCTTGCGCAACCGGAGACCACGAGATGCCATTCTCTCTCAGAATGCGCTTGAGTCTTAGGTTCTCTTCGGACAGTGCCTGGTTGGCTCGTCGGAAGGGGGATTCGTAAATTGTTTTGGCCTGGTACTCTTTGTCCTGGCATTCCCAGGGGAGAACGGCCTACAGTCCATATTAAATCCAGGGTACTCAACACAGGCCGTAGCCGGGGGCAGTTACGTACCGAGCCGGACGAGGACATCTCAGGTCGGTTGCCTCCGCCCACAATCCAGGCAGCGGATCGCCGAACGCGTAAGGTAGTGGTTGGCGATGGACCACACTATGACGTATGTCAGGGGAGCGGTTTACGGTCTCCCGGGTGGTGGAGCCGTCAGAGACAGTTGTGTGGGCAAGTCGAATGGCTCGCCGAGCAGCGAGGCAACTTCCGCCCACGCGACGAAAGTCACATTGTTGGTCGCCGGAAACAAGGTTGTGGTTGGAACACCAAGAATTTCTGGGACGGCGGGAAGCTATTCGATCAAGGCAGGCACGCGACGAGAGAAGTTGACGGAACAGACTGGATACGGAGGTTTGGGGAGCCGGCCCTAGACCCTTCCGTGGCCGTACCTACTCTATTCTCATATGAGGCAGTTTCGGCTCCTCCACACACTGCAGGCTTCAACGATGGAAGGGGGACGGCCAAGTTGCGAATTGGCCCTCCCCCGCCGACTGAGGACTGCACCCAGCATGAGCCGTTGTCGGCCGCTCAGACGAGGGTGTCAGCGTTGCAGGCAAGCGTGAACAGGGGTGTCTAGTGCGATGGTGTGGAGAATCGCGGGGTGAAGGTTGATGGTGTGAAGCAAAGAAGCTGGTGGTGAGCTGAATGACAGGGGACACGGATCCTTGTCTGCACCCATGTGCCCACCCCGGTCTTACCCCTTGTCCTGGGCAATGTGCAACAAATCGCCGTCCAGAAACGGCTGCAATNCTTCTTTGCCTCCTGCCGCATTCCTCTGCCCTCATTCGCATTCCGTTCCGAGGCGGAAGGGGAAGCCAGGATGAGGCCCGCCCTATGATTACTGCAACTCACACCACACTTCCTGCGAGGCGACTTTGCACACCACCGTCCTGCCAGCTTCACACCACACGTCCTGGAAGCCGATTTGGCTTCACACCACACATCCTGCAAGTCGACTTTGCTTTCACACCACACGTCCTGGAAGCCTGCATGCTTCACACCACACGTCCTGCAAGCCGACTTTGCTTCACACCACACGTCCTAGAAGCCGATTCTGCTCACACCATGCGTCCTACAAGCCTTCATGCTTCACACCACTCGTCCTGCGAGCTTCACACCACTCGTCGTGTGGCATGCAGCATGTAGGCTTGCAGTATGCATGGTGTGCAGCAGAAGAGGGTGCCGGAAGGATGAATGAGTCACCACGGACGAAAGAGGGTGTTGCCAACAGGTGGTGTGGTCAGGTCTGTAAAAAAGGGTTACTGTTTGTTAGAACGTGGTGGTGTGGCAGGGGATCAGAACAAGGAGTCACCAGAAATGTGTGACGGGCGGGAGCGAAAGAGAGTGTCGGCAGCAGTGGCGTCTCACCAGGAGAATCAATCGGCCATAACTGGCCATGGTAGCAGTCCGGCTGCCTCTATGATCGCATCGGACTCCTCTGACGGTACCGTACCCGAGCTATCGCAGGAATCCGTTTCAATTTTCGTTCCTATCGCTTCGCCATACTGGTACAGTCCTCAGTAACGAAGAGTCACTGTAGCATGTGTCCATGGGTTCCTTTGCGCTTGCATTCAGCAACAAGAATTTGATCTCAGGATAAGCTTCAGCATTGGGCCATGTCGGAGAACAACAATAAGAACATGGCCTGTTCAACAAAGCCGGATTGGTGGCAAACGGTGATGCTCTGGCGCGACAATATTGACGAGCCAAAGTCAGACGAAGAAACCTCGGCATCCCAGCAACTGAGCCCTTTGCTGCAGACGAACAAGCAGTTGTCGCTCCTAACTCTTCAGAAAGCGTGCCGGGGAGACGGTATAGGGGTGCTTGAAGATGTCCGCGCCCACGGGCTGGAAGAGTGGCGCACCGTGGAGCTGAATCTCTTGTATGAGGTCATGGGGAAACATCGTGCCAATATTTGGAAGCAAGTGAGCAATCAAGAAAGGTCTATAGCAGGGGGACTCTACCACAAAGCCTTGGACATTACTAGACTCTGCAACAAGGTTCGACTTGAGCTTCTTTGGCGAATGCAGACTACGCAACTCCCAGAATGCTGCGGTCAGACATCAAAAGAATAGGTTCCTACGTCCGATGGAGCGTCCTTCGCGCAGAATACAACTCCGGTACCGCCAATACGTTGACTGGACTGGTTCGTTAAGCCACCTAGTGCACGATAGTGTCCGTGCCATGACCCCGTAGATCAGTTGCATACTTTTATCTTGAACGAGTCCTCATACACATAGAGCAGTCCTTGCAGTCTAACCATGGCGCCTACAACTGTCAAAACATGCATCCAGTTGTGGCTATGTCCGGCGAGGTCCAGGGCTCCCGGGAACCACCTTTCAGGGACTCTGGTGGCATACAACACTCCCCCAAGCGAATTGATAGACGTCAATCCAATAAAGGACTGCAGGCCCATTGCCTTGTTTAGCGCATGGAGAGCTCCTAAGCTTTTCCAGGCGTGCCACATAGGTGGAAGGAACAAGACGGCACCTAAGAAGGAATAGAGGTAGAGCCTGTCCGTACGATATCTTGGGAGCCGAAAACGCGATCGTAGCGTCACCATTGCACACAAACTTGCGGCAAGAGTCAAGGTCACAACGTATAGAGACTTGACATACGGAGGCTCGCACCGAAGGGCAAAATGCATGTTGGACACGCCCGTGCCCCACATGACGACAACTATGCCCAAGTGATCTAGCTTGTTGCTGAAAATGTGCAACCTATAGCTTTGATCTGACAATGTATGAAAAATAGCCGAGAGTGCGAAACAAACTGCAACCGAAGCGCAATAGAGTGACACTATGCGCTTGTCGCAGGAGTATGTAGATGGACTTTGCGCACTTTCGGAGTTGTGCGAATGACGTTGATTGAAGCGCACGGTACCGACCAGGAAATAGGCCGTCCCGAAAAGATGCGACCATATATTGACTAGACGCGGTATAAGCCTATTGAAGAACTGCAAGGCGTATCTTAACTGGACGGGAGGGTACAGTACTTGCCAGTCTCGTTGTGTAATCTGAAAACACTTCTCAAGGAGCTGATATACGAGTAGGACGCGCTCCTATCGTTAATTAGCAGGCCACACTCGTGTCCGGTGCAGGCGCTTTTACCGATATCCTGTAAGTATATATTCATTGTCGCTGCCTGGATGAGATAGCCGTGCCTCAATATCTCTGTCATTATGGCCACGTACCGCTGCCATGGCTCTACACAAATCAGCTTTGACAAGTCATATCGTCTTGCAGGCTTGACTTACGTATCGTGGCCCGTCCATCCCATTTTTTCCCGAGCTTATTGCACATTGCCACTTTGCAGTTGGCTTGGCAAAGGAAGTAGGAAGATGTACGAAGCCCACGGGAGTGCAAAGGGCCCCAAGTGCAGTTGCCACCGACCGCTTGCATACAACGGAAGTGATCACAAAATTAGAGCGTCGCAAACCATTGTGTACTGTATATGCGGTCCTCGTTGTTGATTCCACGGCGTGCTGCACTCCAGTACCGTGCAATACTTTCCTGCCTAAGAGCTTGCCTCTCGCCTTATTTGACCAGCCGGAACGGGATCGCGGTGTCGAGTTGCCCAGGGTGTTCAGAGCCAAGCTCTTCTCCTTGACGGATTCAGTTCCTGCTCCCTACCGAACAGGACAGTACCTGTGCCGGGAAGCCGTTATTGGCTACACATCACTTCCATGGACCGAATCAGTGAAGACGCTCCGGACCTGTACACGCAGACACCCCGAGCGTCTCGATATCATAAAGGCATCGACGTAGTATAAGTTACAGCTTTGCTTTCCTTGTGAGGCTTTTTTTTGAGGTAATTACATCATCAACTGCCCCTTGCCCCCATCAAGTCCAGAGACAACTTGCATCATGATGGACATTTGGCGTTTTGCGCTCCTCAGCGCTCTACACTTCAGTACAGCTCGCTGTAGCCTTTTGAGCGACGCAGGCTGCGAAACGGAATGTTTCGCCCCTTACGATGAGTGGCATAATCCGAACCGGACAGCTGGCACCAATGCGACATCACGGTGCGCAGAAAATTCATCGTATCGCAAGGCTGTTGCAGCTTGCTTTGCGTGCATGGACGAGAAGAACGGATGGCGATACTTTACAAAATGGAGGAATCTGGGCCAATGGGAACTTACGGCTTTAGGGATGTGCAACTAGCCGGCTGCAAGCAGCAAGCTGGCGAGGCATGCCACGGTGGATAATGGGGTCAAACTCATTGTCCGGATGTGTATTACAGGCTCCTTAAAGCTACTTTAGCATCGCCTAGTGTATATACTGCAGCAATGGGCAAATCTCCATACCAGTCGCATACTTAGTACTTAACCCGTGGTGCAAACCAGAATTCTGGGTCACTCGCTTACTGTGCTGGTTTATCTTGACAAGAGAAGTCACGATGTTATCTAGGACTGTCCTTCTGATTGCTTTCACCACACAGGTTCACAGTTCCATTACTCGCGCCCGTAGACAAGAGGAAGCTATCACCGTTACACCGCATGAGCAGTATTCTTCCTCCATCGGCGCACTGGGATGCAAGCTGAACACCAACCGCGTGGCCTACTGGCCGGAGCAGATTACCTGTGATAACATTTGTGTCAAAGTCAGCAACGCTGGGCGCAGCGTCCATCTGCTGCGCGTGGATCAGTCAGGTGGTGCTCATGACGTATCTTACGACGCATGGAACTATCTTGTCTTCGGTACTGGTGCGGCTCAAGATCCTCATGAAGGAGGTGGTATTGCCATGGCGTATGAGCAGGTCCACCCGGACGAGTGTAAATACTTGCTTCATGATGGTAAGCTGGTATTATCTGCCGCAAACAGCATGAATTATCTCGGGTCGTGCCTCGGGGGCAAGAATTGGGTCGCGGAGAACCACAAGCTTGTCAACTTATTGGACCCTGGCTGTCGATACGGCTGGGATGAGCTATGCACACTGGATCTGAGCAAGAGCAACCAGCCCGCATGTCCACACACGCTCGGCGATCTGCATACCCCCACGGGACAGAAGGTCACAAATATACGCTATCGAACTGGCGAGAACTACGTTGTTCAGTGAGGCAGGCGCAAGGCAGCTTTGTGAACGTCCTGAGTTCCCCTTGTTTCACAAGAGGGACGGGTCACTGACAAAAATACGCCGGAAGCGAAGTGCATCATTGGCAGTGACATGGGACTATGTACTGTACTTAGATTCTTATGCCTACCAATCCTATTACGTCTTGTAGCTGTCGTGTCGCGGAAGAACCAGAAGGTTGAAGTGAACCATCATAAGTTTGAACAATAACTTGATCAACTAGAGCTACTTGCTGGTGGCGCTGGCAAGGCAGGGCGGAGAGCCAGCTGCACTGCGACCGATAACCCTAACCCTAGTACCGGAACTGCCGTTTCGTCTGGGTCAAGCCACGATTGTCTTTTAATTGTCATGGCATATTGCCAATAGCCGGGCTGTCTTTAACCGGTGCGCTTTTGTATCCTTCGTCTTCCCCGTCTTCGAGAGGTGTCCGGCAAACGGGACACGTGCAACATTCTTTCAGCCACGGGTAGATGCAATCATAGTGAAACAGATGCTTGCAAAGCAGAGCCACAACCATGTCCCCTACCTTGGTATCATCAAGACAGACGGGACACTCGGTCGCTTTTTCGCCAGTTTGTTTCACAATGCGCCGGCTGAGGGCTTGAAGAGCCTTCTGAGACGCTGGGGGGTGGGCCGTCGGACTTGATTCCGACTGAAAAAGCCGAGTTATAAGTCCATTTAGTTCATGAACTGTTCGAGACAACTCCATTGCGTACTCCGAATTTCGCACAGCCATACCGGCATTATTGTCAGGGCGTCTCGTCGGCAGATTATCTCGAGAAAACATGCTAGTGAAAACGGATCAGCTGGGTAAATTCCTAGCTGTGCGACTCAACTTTGAAACCCACGACTGAAGTAGGCTGACGTTGTCCGCAGCGATGATTAGGCTGTCGTTGGTCACCCAAAGAAGAGGTGCGTCGCCACCAATGATAGCTTCCCTAGCTTGGCCTACTCGAGGCTGACCAGCTGCAGCCAGTGTCTCTTGATCTGGCAAAGATGTCTCGTCAGCATTAGCGCAGCTCACGTTTCAAACTCAAAGCCAGTGATGAGTTCGCGTGCGAACCTCCTCCAATGCCGAACCCTCCCGGAGCTTGATCGTGCGAGATGTGTGTGTCGCTGGACCTTGTGGGCGGTATTTGGTCAAATCCGTGAGCGTCACTGTCGCAGCTGGCCTAGAACGATGAGACATGTGCGTTTCAGTTTGGTTTCCTTTCCGTATGCCGATACGTACATTTTCCACCGCCTCGTCCTGGCAGCCTGGACATGGTTCATCATGATCACCATAATACCACTCACGGCTGCAGTCGTGACAATAGACAACATCCGGCCCGAAGTCGGCAGTCAAGCCTCCGCCATGCTGGCAATGTGAGAGCATACTGACTTGGAGGTAGGTTCAAGCTTTGAATGGAGTAGACGGCAACGAAAACGTCAAGGGGAAACTGAAAGTGACGGGTTCGTGGAAGTTCAGACAATGATTTAGCTCCGGTAAGTCTGTGGGCGGCTGAATATATCCCGCCCGCATCGACCAATTTTCCGCGTCAACTTGCCAGACAGTCCTCAAAAGCTGCCTGTACATCACCCGCGCTGTGGCAAGGTCCGAAGACCCCGCATCCGCCGCGCCACGGGCAAACAGTACCCTTGTAAGTTGCAGCGGAGAACCGCACCACGAATCCGTCGAAGGTGGTGTTCGGTCGAGCAGTGTGAGGCCGTCAGCCGATCCTGGATGACCGTCAATGTTGGCCCAAAGCCGTTTTTCTTTGCCGGTCGCCGGCTGGAGTCAAAAGTCTCACGACACCATCATTCACGACTCCATCTTTCACGACACCATCTTCTCACGACACCATCTTCTCACGACACCATCTTCTGAGGACACCATCTTTCACGACACCATCTTCTGAGGACACCATCTTTCACGACACCATCTTCTCACGACACCATCTTCTCACGACACCATCTTCTCACGACACCATCTTCTCACGACACCATCTTCTCACGGCACCATCTTCTCACGACACCATCTCCTGAGCACACCATCTCACGACACCATCTTTCACGACACCATCTTTCACGACACCATCTTTCACGACACCATCTTCTCATGGCACCACCTTTCTGAGGACACCATCTTCTGAGGACACCATCTTCTGAGGACACCATCTTTCACGACACCATCTTCTGAGGACACCATCTTTCACGACACCATCTTTCACGACACCATCTTTCACGACACCATCTTTCACGACACCATCTTTCACGACACCATCTTTCTGAATACACCATCTTCTCACGTCACCACCTTTCTAAGTGCCTTTCTGAACAGCACCTTCGTACAGGACATTCCCTTCATTGACATTGTCCCAGTCCACGCGGCCAGATCCAGCCTCGCTATCTGCCTTCGCGGAAGACGCCCAGGTAACTGCCCGTGGAGGATATGCTCCACTTCAGTCTGGCCACGAGAACCTAGAAACCATGGCTGCGTCCTATTCAATCGCCTTCGGTAGTGTGCCGGCAGCCCACATTTGACGAGAAAACAGCGCGCAGGATAAACCGACTGCCAGCCCGCAGTTTAGCCCCAGAGCAAAAGAGAAGCATCCGTAAGACGCGGGCCGGTTTGCGGCATTCGATGCCCGTGAGTTCTCGTCGAGAAAAAGGATTCAATTGGCCTGGCCACAACGACTTGAGCCCTCCATACCCTTACCGCAGCCTCCTTTGTCGTTACGCTACGAGGCGTGCCCTCGCCGCCCCACTAATCGCAAAAGCAGACGCAATGAAAGACAGGCCACGGATCGGTTTCTGCTCCGATCGAGCTCACGCCCCACTGGGTCAAGCAGCCTTCCAGAATGTGCAGGTCAATGCTGACGCTTGTCATCTTGTCACTGTAAAATGAAGCCGCCCGCAGGACGGCGTGGCGTTTGGAAGGCATAGAGCCAATCTCTGGTTGAATTGGGCCGGACTAGTATGAGACCATGAGAGGGAGATGGACTAGTCATTTTCTGAAAAGTGGTGCTTTGATGTCGGGAATGACATGGGTTCAAAGTTCAGAGAACTGGCTGCGCACTCACTAGCGACATCATGGACTTACTGTGCAGGACGGAGGGCACCAAACAGTTTAGCCCAGCGGCGGGGTGACGCCTTGCGGTCGAGTGAATGTTGTGATGACGTGGTGAGTCACCAGCGCGGCTGGTTACGATCGCGAGAACAATGCTGGCAGGTTCCAAACGGGCAATCGCCGAGCCGCACGGCACGGGGAAACAGGGAAACACCGACAGGAAGTGGGCAATCGAAGTATTGGCGTTGTCACCTTGACGGTGAGGCTTGCCCCTGCCAAAAACTTGCAACAAACTCGCCACCACCCACAGAGCCCTTCCCCTGATGGTGAAGAGAGCCTAGCGCGTACCCGACGGAACGGTCCGGCCGCCCCATGACGATCAGCTGTGGCGTCACACCAATTCGCAGGTGAAACGCGCGGCTGTCACATGCCTAGCCTGTGACGACTTATTCACTGGGGCAGGCGGATGGTTCGGTCTACCGGAGCTGCCCCGAGTCGCACGACCCAGTCAAAGGCCAGCAGCCGATAACCAATAGCAGATGGCCCCGTCAAGCGCGTTTCACCTTCTAGCGAACAATCCTTGGAGGCATTAAGTCACGCACACTCAAAGTCGCTGGATACTTGTAATGCCCATGACGGCGCGTCGATGTGACTGACGACGCGGGACCAATGCAGCCAATTCGCCCTCCACAGGTTTTGTTGTGGAGGGGCCATTCCCACCTGCTGCAGAATCTTGGGTCGTGGGGAGTCACTAGTGCCAGTCGTTTTCGCTCGTCAACGCGAGGCATTCTGTGCGGTGCGACCACAGCCTCAACGCCTGGCCTGATCGTCGTGGCCTGGTCCTAGTGCCACGCCCCACTTCTCCCGCGGCTTGCCAGCTAGCCAATGACGAATAGCAAAGGAAAGCGGAGACAACGGCTTAGCGCCTTGCTAGCCGCCGTGTCCCCATCGGATCACGCTGTCCGTGGGATTTGGAGCCAGCCTCCAGTAATGGCTGGCCAGGGCGTGATACATACTTTGGCGCGAGACGACCTACGAGTGTCCATAAATATGTTAACGCAGCATGTAAGGATGCCTGATGCCGCGCTGATGGACCAATTTGCACTGCGAAGTACATGATGCAACATCATTCCTTTGGGGCATGGGTAACCCAGAACTCAACCATCCGCCCACGCAGCAAATCGGCACTACCTGGCATCGAAGTCAGTCAGATGAAATGGAATATGCAGGTTATGCAGGTTATGCAGGTTCATGCGAAACCGAAGAAGCGTGGTCGGCGCCAGAGTTGGATGAGTAAATCCCCCTTCCCGGCCTTTGATGCCCATTCTAACGGTGCGAGACTGTCGCAACAATGTTCTCCTATTTTCTGCCTGTTCCCAGGCTGCAACGTGCAACCTTTCTGGTGTAGCGATGCTCTAGCTTACCACTACAAGGTATTCCATCCCAAGAGTGACGCAATTTGCAGCGCGCAGCCGTTCGAAGCTCCGAAGCATCGCGCTAGGGGGTCTCATCCTGAGGGCTATGCGTTTCTCGACAACGCACAAACAGTCAAAGCTACGGAGCACCACTACGAGGAAGCTGGTGATGTATTCATCTGCGACTACGCAGACTGTCAATGCGCTGGTCCCTTCAAACGACTAACGCGACTTCGCGACCACCTACGCGGAGTACATGGAGAGACGATCGAGAGACGACGTCGCAACGCGATCGTAAACTTCCCAGGATACCTTCGATGTTATACTTGCCTTGGAAAAACCCCGATCGGCACGCAAGGCGAACGATGTTATGGCTGCCAGCGTCCGCAAGTTGACGAGCGCCAACCGCACTCAGGCGCTCGAATGATGAAATATGGAAACGGTGTCGTGATCCTGGATGATCCAAAGTTGTGTCGATCTGGCTAGCCATATCAGCTGCTCATATATTTCCATGCTATGAGCCATTGCAATACACGGTTTTAATAAACTTCAAAGTTCGGTCGCCCGGCAATGTAAGAACTCAAGTACGTCTCTTGACACTGCACAGTGTCAGGAGAGACGCGACCCCTGACGTTGGAGGTGTGCTCCAAGCTGCATCTTCACCTGCTCTAACTCTTCCGACCACTTCTGTTGCAGCTGGTCAACTATTCGAACGATGTCCTCCCACCCTGGTTGGGAACTTCCGGTCTCAACGCGTCCAGCTACAGAAGCCCGCTCCCAGACACCCTCGACGCTTGTCTCACTAGGTTGGGGTTGGCCGGCCGACAGATCATTCTGAGAGTGATGCTGGACCACAAATTCAACCTCTGGATGGCTGACTGGCCGTCCATCTACGCTCGGAAGGGAACGAGGGCTCTGTTGAGCTGCGGCCTGGATTGGTGGTGCCTGCTCCGACCGCGGTGTGTATCCATACGTAGTCGCACAGTTGCCACCGCAACGCCACAGTCCCGGGGGCTGTAAAGTCCGAATACCGTGATCCGCGTGCTGTCCACCATCATCATACTTTGCAGGCTGGACAGAGGACTGACCCATGGCATGAAGGTCGGGAATATCAGATTGCACTTTCGCGGTGATGCCGCCTTGCGGAAGAGTAGTCGGACGAACTGTGGGCTGGTATGCCTGCAGCACTTGATTGTTTGTTGGGAACTGGCTACCATAACTCAATACAGGCGCGGCAGGAGGATACGCCGGTGGCGCTTGGTTGCTGTAGTAAACTGGAAGTTCAGGCGCAGCCCAGCTAGCACTCTGGGGCCCAACGGAATGAAGATGCATTTGCCATGTAAGTGGATGAGGTTCCGCGCTGGAGGCTTGCGCAGGGTGAATGATAGGTCGCGTGTTCCCACTGTTATCCATAATTGGTGTTCCACGGTCTGCAGTGAGTGAATGCAGTATCACAAAACCTAGATTGGGCGCAGCGTACGGCTTTAAGTAGTTAAAAGACGCGGCTTCAAGCACATGCCTCAGCTTTTCAACTACAGCCAGGGTACAAGAAAGCAGGATTTTGTTGGTAGCAAACCAACTGAAATGGTGGCGTTCCTGTCAGTGTCCAATGGCTTCGGAGCAGTGTTGCGAGGAAAGAGGCCGATGTATCACACCACGTCGCCCGCCACTGCACCCTCTTGAAACGTAATATGCAGCAATGAATACGGCCAATGGTTCCTGAACTCGAGGAACTGCCGCCACAATGTTACGCGAAGCAGAGTGGCAGCCGGGTGATGCACTGCCGAGGGGGACGCGAAACGGACGTCGGGTGACAGGGAATTGTTCTTCCAGGTTTCCCGAGAGCCAATTCCTCGTCGCGCCAACAGCGCCCCTAGATGCTGCCTGGAAGACGGAGGCAGCCTGGTCCTCATGATTTGGAATTGTGTCCGATTCATGGCGGAAAAGGCTGGATTGGTTGGTATCGAGAGACAACTGGCGGCAGAGACGCGACGTTCCACGTGGGCCGCGGCAGCATGAACGAATCGCATCGCGTTTGCGGGCGCTTAGACAGTGAACCATGCGTACTGTACCGCTACCTGCCTTGACGAGTTAGCTGTACTGCTGTGGAGGCTTGGCGCCAGACAGAACAGTTTCCCTCGGACGGGACGCCATCAAGCATTCCCGGTCTCGATGTCCAGGATCAACAAGAGAGACGTGAAGGGTGGCCGATTAAAGGACTCATTGATGGGAAGAGCAGAGTGCGGGGCAGGCCGGACATGCAAGTAGACAAGAAGACCAAGAACGGGCAACGGGTGACCGTACACACAAGATTGTCAGCCATTTCTTCACGTCCTGTGCATGCCCACGCGGCTGGTGCACACCACCTTGGCAGGGCGAATGGCTGCGAGACATGATCCACTTCGCAACCCTTGCAGAGGCGGGGGCCGGCTGCTGAAGCTGCCGGGTTACCCCGGCAAGGAGCGTCCACGCCACGCATCCCGATGTTGGCACTGGCCGCGACGCCTCTGTGACACTGATTGCCACAAGGGCATCGGTTGAGTTAAGAGTCGCCGTCCCGAGCCAGCGGACCCACTAGCAAAGGCGGCTATCCCTACGACTTTGGCGCTATCACTAGCACGGCGAAGACACAAGAGGCCCTTTGCGTGAGTTGCTAGTACCTGCTATCAGACCCAGCGTTTGTCGGACAGCTTTGGGGCCTGCGTTGGATGTACCTTGGACAGGAGCGCGCAGCGAACAGACGCAGTAGTGTCTGATGTGGGTGGGAGCGGTTCCCTGATGTGTTCTGGTCAAGTAAACAGGTCTCGTTCACTCGAACGAAAAGATACGAGACTGTGGTGCTCGGCCATTACCCAAGTCATGGGGCGGCAAAGGACGGCCCTACTAGCGGGTCGGATTTAGCGCATTCTCAGCCGATCCACAAGCGCCGGTAGTCATTCGCGAGACAGAGGAAACAGAGTACCTCCCGTCATTCAGGATGGATGGCGCTCCCTCATGTGTGTACCATGCTCACCCGTCTCGTGCCGTTTCTGTTGGTTTCAGGGGGGACAAGTAGCATTGTAGGTATTGAAGGACCCTACAATTGAAGCAGGCTATTTGCTTGGTCTCTGGCGCCTCTCGCCCTGCTGGTCAGTGGACAAACGCGCATCGTCGAACAGCCGCCCACGCGTCGCTGCCTTTCGTCCGACCACGCCCCACCCATAACGGCTCCCCGTCTTCTCTCACGAGTGTGCGCACCCCGATCGTGCCAGCCGTAGGAATCGTCAGGGCCGGTTGGAAGCATATGCACCTCGCTTAACCCCCGATCTGTCACCTCCTGAGGCATTTGCCACGTGCTAGGCGACGCACCCTCGCCCTGCCACAAGGGCGGGCGGCTCGGCGGATGCTTGCCGAGGGCGGTCTTAACGCAACCTCGTCCGGGCTCTGGGCCTCTGAGTATTCGCGGGATGGTGGTTGGCAACGGCCAGGAAAGTACTGTGCAGTACTGTACAGTACCTTTACTACCTTGCAAAAAACCTCGCCGGCAATCCAGCCAACAAGTCGCCGAATTGTCTCCGGATCAATCAGAACGCGCACCACGCTGATGCCGTGGTTGCAGGATGGGATTTGTGCAATCTCGCGTCGCGAGGTTCGGACGCCGTTGCTCCGAACTTGCCGGCCCCGACGCTTGACCCTAGAAGGCAAGCGTGGACCACCTCGCGGCCGGACTGGCAAAGGAGTCAGCACGAAAGGGGATAAAAGCCTGCACATCATTCACACCACGGCTCGGGTGCATTCCTCGGCAGCTAAGCCGTGTACTTGACAGCAGCCCTGCGCAAACCCCGTCCCCCCCATTTCCAAAACTTGTCGGCCCCTGAGAGGGCGCAGTGTGGTGCGGACAGGACAAGTGCTCGACTAGCGCCCAACACCAAGCTCAACGTCGTCTAGCGTATCCCGACGGAACGGGCCGGCCGTCCCCTCCCACACGATAGCCTAAGCGCCCGCACAAGTGCAGCAGGAACGCCATTGGGCAAGGGCGTGACGAGAAGGTTTTGCCTGCAGGGGTTTGCGAATCGCGTGAGGGAGGCTGCACTACTACGCGCCAGCGGCCCCTCCGACGAGGACAGGCATCAAGCGTCCAGGCAGTAAGCCGAGTGTGCCACGCGCGCTTTCTTTGGGGAGGTGTCCAGATGCTTTGTGCGAGCAGACATTCGAAGCCGTAGTGGACGTTATCCAGAACTCACGGTCGTCAGCTATACTTCGCATGGCGGTGCACATGACATCGGGATGGTGTGACTTACGATGCGGGGGCAAAGCAATCCTTCCCTGGACCAGATTATGTATTGTACATCGATGGCAGACTTGGCGTTGTGGTGCCTTCGGTGCCTCACCGGGGGTGACCATCGCAGCCGGTCACAGCCCCGGT